ATATATATATATAAATAGTATATATAATATACATATATATTATATATAATGTATACATAATATATATAATATTTATAATAAATAGTATATATATATTATATATTATATATATATATATATATATATATATATATATATATATATATATATATATATATATATATATATATAAATATTTATATATATATATATATATACTTACTAAAGCGTGTTTTGATAAGCATTTGCTCACTTTTTCTGCTTACCTTAAGTTATGCTGTTTTTTTCGAAAAAATAGAAGAAAAAACAAAGAATGATGAATGAAACGAATGCTTCCCCCATCCCAAACCCTCAGTCGATGTAGCAGTACTCCACTGCGAGTCAGGCTATTTGTCAGTCGATGTATGTAGTGAATATTCCAGCAGCAGGCTATTTCAGTATGATGTCAGATATATATATATATATATATATATATATATATATATATATATATATATATATATATATATATATATATATATATATATATATATGTGTGTGTGTGTGTGTGTGTGTGTGTGTGTGTGTGTGTGTGTGTGTGTGTGTGTCGCGAAAAATAAATAAAACCTCCCAAGCTTTCCCAAAAGTTTTCCTATTCTATTTAGAATAGAATGAAAAAATAGTTTTTTTTTCCTTCTATAATCTAGAAAGGCTGAAAAAAAATTTAAAAGTTATATCTGTATAATTTCAGTTTTAAAAAAAAAATGTAACTTTTAGGGAAAAAAACCCAGATATATTTGGAACTCTGTTAAAAATATATATTTCTATTATAATTTTTATATCATTTTTGAGTTGCTTCTTTGTCAAGTCCTTTTCTTTCTGTTATCTCTGGCAACGACTATAAAGTTCTGTTTTATTTCATCTGACTTTTACAGAGTTGCCACTTAACCTGAAAAACCTGGAATACCTGGAAATAGCGTGAATCCCAGGGGAAACCTGGAAAACTCAAGGATTTTTTAAAGTTTTCATAAAATTCAGGGAAAACTCAGGGAAAATAATTTTTTTTTGGAAATTTTGTACAAAAATCTTTTTTTTCAAAAATATTTTGCTAATACATATAATAATAATTTTTCAAGATATGGGTGTTTTGTAAAAGTTTTAGTTTGTTAAATATAAAGATTGTGTTTAATTAAGGAAAATAATAATCTTGTTGATGAACAGGAAAGAATATAGAAAAGTCAGGGAAAAGTCAGGGAAAACTCAGTGAAACTTTAAGAGTTCAACTCAGGGAAAAACGTTCTTTACTCAGGGAATACTCGGGGAAAACTCAGGGAAAAACTTCAAAAATTATAGTGGCAACCTTGTTTTAGCTTCCATCAAAGTCTTGGATCAGTCTGATAGTCTTTAACTTTAAAAACTGTTTAAATAAACCAAGTGTCTCACTAACATCCTCCGTGACCCACTTCTCTACCTATTTAACAGGAACCTCAGCTACCGTTAGCA